AACAAAAAGAGGGGTAGACAACCCACGGAATGGGTCAAGGTTGTAGAGGACGTATGGAAGGGGCTCGACATCGACGAAGATGAAACGCTGGAAACGGAGGGTCTACAGGGGTTCAAGGAGAAGATATCTGTTGCTTGTGCCGAGAGAGAAGAACAGAATCTGAGTAAAGAAACCAAGGATAAGGAGGGTCTAGAAGTGTATGGAATGTTGAAGGAAGGAATAGGGTTCAAGGATTACCTACATGGACCAATGGATGCAGGAACAAAGCTTAAGGTCAAATTCAGGACCGGGGACATAGGCCTTCGAGAACGTCGACGAAGACATAGGACGGTAGACGACGAAGACGACGAGTTCAAGTGTGATTGCGGTTTCGAATGCGAAGGCCGTGTTCATGTAGTCGCGGAATGTCCGTTGTACGAGAAGGAGAGGGGAGTGTACGTGACTGAGCTGGGAAAAATAGATGGGACGTACAGGGGCATGTTTGAGGCATGGAATAGAGAGGAAAGGACGGTAGCTGTACTGGGGCATAGGAGGTGGGTTGAAAGGGCGGGAAGGGATATCGGTAGGATAGACAGACTAGGCAAGACATTTTTGAGCCACCTTTGGCAAAGTAGAAAGGAACGATTGGCCATCGGTGATAGGTCCTGTGGGAACAATGCTCCGTCCTCTCGAGGACGCGTGGTCAATGGTCTAACCGCTAAGGCATGCAAAACATAAGAGTACGCCCAATCCGCCGGTCGGGGGGAAGGTGCCGCAAAAACTCACCTGAATGTTTGGACGATGGCAATTCGACAACGGTGGAGCCCTCCAGTACAGCCACGTCGAGCGGAATGATGCCGTCACCGCGAGACCCGCCGTCCCCGCAGAGAGGTAGGTAGCTGACGTACGCAAGCATTTCCTCCACGCTCCCTGGGAGCTTTCCTGTATGCAAGGTTCGGACGACAGAGAAATGAACGGGCTTAACACTTTTGGGAAGAGACACGTACCACGAGGACAAGCGTGCAGTGTCTTCTAGCAGCAAACGCGGCCGGGGGTAAGCGTTGGAGAAAAAAACAAAGTCTCATGCGCCTCCAACAGCAAATACGCGAGACATGCTGACTGATGTACACCCCCAAACCGATCGAAAAACCTAGTCACCCTCCCGCATGCAACCGTGCTGCAATGGAACTGCAAGCCCACGCCGATCCACGCGTGTCAAAAGCGGACCCAACACAGGACGACAAACCCCATGGTATGAGTTTCTTATACCTTCCAGCGCAGTCCCCGCGACGCTCGTGTACCGTACGCCCTCCACGTGCGCCCCTGGAAATCTAGCGTTGATGTACTTCAGGAGCCCCCGCGTTTGGTCCACGGCGGCCCATAGCCCGGCATCTTCCGGGGGGCCCGTGTTTGGAGTTCCTAGCGTCGTGAGACTGAGCACATTTTCTCGGTCTGCGTCGGCACATCCCTCCGCGAGCCAAGCGCGGGCAACCCAGCCCCCTATGCTATGCCCGATGACATGCATCCCCTGCCCGGGATGTCTCTCTTTTATTTCTTCCAGCGCCCGATCTATTGCCTCGTAGTAAAACTGTACAGAAATCGTTCGGAGTACAACAATTCATGTCCGACCGTTACTCTACAAGCCATGAACCTTCACATCACTACAAAGCACCCGGGGCACTTCACCCAACCGGTATATGCTCGTGGGCGACGACGAGGTTCTGTTGGGCGAGGCGGGGGAAGAGTCACTTTGTGTCGTCCCACGAAGGGCTTATGAGGCGAGAAAAAAAGGTTCCAAACACGTGTGCCGATCCATGATTTATTCTGTTCCTGGTCCTCCTTTCATGCCCGAGTTTGCGAGGATACACATGTGTGAGGCCTGTCGGCCGGTTATGTGTTGACGCCCTGTGAGTGTGAATACATTGCTGCACAACCCTCTGGGGATCTCGCTGTAGCCACGGGACGGACAGCAAGAAATCATCCCACCGCAGCCTGATCCCCATTAACACGGAGTGGTGATCCATCAAAGGCCCACCTTCAGGGTGTTGGCCGGGGTGAGCTCGCCCTTCACGTACTCCGGCGACAGTGCCGAGGGAAGCAACCCCGTGATCCACCCAAATCTCGTCAGGTCTGCGCAATACGCGGGGAAGCCCCTAATCAATACATCGCGATGCGTCGACCGGCGAAAAGAGGACAATGGGTACAGGGCACACAGCTTCTTCACGGTATAGGATTCCTTTCAAGTATTTGCGAACAAGCCTGATATTGCGGGTTTCCAGCACTCTCGTCATATGCACGAAAATACCAGAATGGGCTAGTGGCTTGCAGGCCAAATGTTAATGGCCAGAGACGAAGACCGCTGGTTTCAAGGCGCTCTGGTTGGCTAATATTGAAGTATGAGGTCCCGCGGCCAAAGAGGCTTATGTGCCAAGGCTGGTCCACAGCGCGAGGAAATTCAACCCGCGTGCAAAACACGCCTCCGTACACTCGCGGGTGACAACATGCGTAGCAGTAGTCTACACGTAGTCAAGCCACGAACATCGACCACGGTCGCGGGTATATTGGTGAGATGCGAGCTGCGCTAACATCGGAGGCAGAGTCGGCAGACAGAAGGGTTTTCAATTGAAAAGGTTGGTACGTAGGTGGCGCTGTGAGAATTTCTCGCATCAGCTGCGGAACGCCAGCACACGGATCGTTGTTGCCACGACTACGGCATAGCATGTCAAAAAAAGCGGTCTTGGATCCCATGTCAGAACGCAATGATCATATGGATCTCTGGTGCAATCGCGGTATCTTGTTACATTGGCAGAAGCAAGCGCAAGTCTCCTTCCTCGGTGTTGCACTCGCTCGGTGGTGGCGGGTTGATACAAGTCAGAACGAGTGTGCCTAATTGCTGTAGGTTACTGATGAAGGTCATGAAGCGGGACAACTGCGCAAAATGGTGAACATCGACGTGATGTTGTTTTTGCCAAGTGCCGCGCAACTGGTGCATGGACATCCTAATTGTTCTGAGTGCAACAGCAGTTTCAGACACACAAGAACAGCAGAGACAGCAGGACATGTCGTGGATGTGGGTGTAGAGCGAAGACCGCAACACGCAGCATGTAGGTGAAGCCTCGTGACGGTGTGTATCCATACCTCTTCTTCAGCTCTGTGACCATCTGTCTGTAGTCACCCGGAACGCTCAGCTGCGCTGGGCATATGAGTACGGGGCCCTTCTCCTTGGCCGTCGGAGGTGTCGGCGTCTTCATGCCAACGCCCTGCACGATCCCTTCCCAAAACGCGCCCGTCATGATGACACGATCCCTGGGGCGGCAGGAACTTCGGGGTGTAACGCCGCCTCTAGATTGCGACAAGAGAAGCGGCGGCAAGAGGCCAAACCCCCGAACGACTATACGACGGCATAAGGCTAAGATGAGGAGGTGGTACATGAGCCTCGTCATGACTTGGCGGTTGCAGAGCATACGAAAGTTGGAGTGCGATGCTGACTGACAACTGAGGGCGCGACACACGGGGCGACATGCGGCGTATTTGGGGGGCACCGCGGCCTGTGTGAGTGACAATGGGTATCTTGTTGATTTCACGGACTCCCCCGTGTCGGTGTCTGCTGAGACATCCAGACATGACATGCTCGCTGTGTGTCTGCATGCTTTATCTGCCGGGGTTTGAAGCCAGGAGCATACTGCTAGAAAGGCGCGACATTAACTGGAAAAAACTGACTGCTTGAACGATGGGCGACGCGCCGAGGCACCTCACTGTGATGAACACACCCGACAGGGTGAGGGATGACATCATGCGTTCGGCGTACCACTCAAAAATCGGCTAGACTTTGTTCAGCCACGACAATGTAGTCACGGAGTCAGGTGTTCCTCAACACGAACAAAGCAAAGCTTGTTGTATACAAAGCTATCGTGTGCCATTGGTGTGTTGCTTCTTTTTCGCGAAGAGAAGGGTAAGGAGTCTACTGCTGTACACCTTGCTAGATGCATAGCAATGCCAAGAAGATTCCCTTGTGAAGTACGTACGTCCGCAGTGTAGTTGTTCTCTATTACTACCGTTGAAGTGCGTTGGCCTTAGCGGACCTGTGCGGCTTCGCAAAGTAGTGCTGATTCCCCGTTTCCGCGCAGGTAGGAGAACCAGACTCCGCGTACAATGGCGACAGCAGGCAGGGAAACCGCAGAAAACTGGTTTCAAAAAGCTCCAGGGGGTGTCGAATAATAAGTGCGTAAAAGTACAAGGGTTTCGGCGGCTTCCGCCGCCACGCTGTAGCGAAGCGATTCAAGCAATTACAAGAAGTAGACTACTTGTTTTTTCTTGCTCGAGACACAGCCGTTGAGACTTGGGCATCGAGGAAATCACGGGTGTGTTTAATACAGTATAGTACTGGCGGTACTGCACAGTATTCAGTACCTGCGAGGCATACTGGAATACTGGCTGTTTTAGTACAGCTCTCGATACTGGAATAAAAGTTTCAGTACTTTTAGTACAGCTTTCGATACTGTACTGGCTGCTTTAGTACGCACTTCAATACTGGTATAAACGTACTGCACGCTTTAGCACGGGTGTCGATACTGGACGGTAGGGGTCGTACGACTGCCCGTATCTACCCGATATCTACCCGAAATCCACCGAAGGGCGTGTTGGTGACGCCATATTCTGGCACAAATGCGGCACAGCCTCGTCCAATTGGTCTAGTCCTACAGTCCCACTCCTGCTGCACGTACACGACTACGTCGTACTGCCGTGTCCAGTGTACTGCGGAACTTGACTACTGGTACTCGAGCAGCGGCCCGCAGCCAGCACAAGGCAGCGATGGGTGACGCCGCAGGTAGTCTCTGAACCCTACTACTGTAGTATGTATATTGTCACTATTATTATAGTACGGCTCTCGATATTCCGCTCAACCTATCAGTACGCTCAGTACGAGCTCTGGTGGAGGTCTGCTCTCCATCCTGTACTGGTGTAATACTGCGCAAGACTGCACGCTCCAGTACAGCGCTTGATACTGGCGGTACTGCACAGTAGTATTCAGTACCTGCGAGGCATACTGGAATGTACTGGCTGTTTCAGTACAGCTCTCGATACTGGAATAAAAAGTTTCAGTACTTTTAGTACAGCTTTCGATACTGGAATAAAAGTTTCAGTACTTTTAGTACAGCTCGCGGTACTGGAATAAACAGCACCCTTAGTACGGCTCTTGATAGTACGGGCTGTTTTAGTACAGCTCCCGATACTGGAATGCACTGTACTGCCAACACGGCCCTCAGTACTGTACTGTACTGGCTGCTTTAGTACGGAATTCAATACTGGAATAAAAGTACTGTTCTACAGATGTACTAAACACACCTTCCGGAAATGTGTTGTGTCACGTGCTTTTCCCGACGTTCATGTGTTTTGGCATGACCGGCTGAATGCATACAAAGTCGCAGCTTTTCACCGGTCCCGAGAGGAATTTGTCACCGTGGATGTTTGCGTGTGATGTGCTTTTCCCGATGTTGGTGAGATGAGTTTATAACCTGAACCATGGCAAAAACAAAGGAAAAAGAACCTCGAACCGAACGACAATCTGATTGACGGGCCGTGCCAGGGACACCCCAAGTAACAAACCGTCAAGGGTTACGGAACGACGGGTGGTTACCCAACAACAGTTAATAAGTATACCCCGAATTGGGCGCAGCAGGGTTGGGGACGCCGAGGCATGGGATCCCGGGAGCGATGTCGACTAAGTAGGTAGAGCAGGGAGATGCCAGTGATAGTACGGAAATCTTACAGCCGTTCTTGGCGTAATTCGCGCAACCGCCGAAGGTCGCGCGGCAATGGAGGTCAAGTCGGCCCCGTCACAATCTGCGTTTACACACTACCCGAGGACTTCGCCAAATTCGTAGTCGGAAGTTTTGCGCTTGGCGCTACTGCCAAGAGAGGCAACCGTCTGAAAGGTGTTTGTTGCGCCATTCCGACATCGACGAAAGAGAAGAGCAGGAGAGATACTCAACGAAGGCTGGGTAAGAGTGTCATGTGGGAGAGCTTGAGGGGTGAGGAGCGTGTGCGTGCAACCGAACGTGTGCGGGCGGCGTCGAGAAGCAGCGTCACCCATTGTTTTCATATCTTGAGGTTGATATCTTTCGATTGCACAGGCGACGACCTGACGACGACGCCATTTCGAAAAAACTTCGCTTCTCAGTACCTTCCTGTGTGCGCGTACACATGGATCCACTGAGCTGTATCTGGCCCGCGCAGCGGATGACTGCAGACACATCAAACACTCAAATCATTTATGTGCGCACACATAGATTGCATTGTGCGCGTTCACATGGATTTGCTGTGTGGATTCCACTGTGTGTGCGCGTATACATGAATCCCGTGTGTGCGTATACATACTACATGGATTTCACTGAGACTGAGCCATGTTGGATGACTGCAGATTACAAAAATACTGATTGAGACGAGAAGATTGTCACCGAGCGAGTGAGAGAGTCGTTGGACTACGGAGCAGGTGACTATTGCTGTAACACATGAGAAAGAGAATGAGAAAGAGAGTATAGAGATTGCGTGAGAGAGAAAGAGAGAAAGAGAGGCACACGGAAAGACAGGGATATCTGCTCGCGGAAACGCGTGGGTGATGACGTGGATGACAGCACCGATGATGGTTGATTGCGGGGCATGCGAGGATGACTGCTGATCGATGAGTGCAAACAAAGAGGGAGTGAGCGTGCGAGGTGCAGAATGCTGCGCTAGCCGGGAGCCCTGACTGATTGAAGCACTGACTGGGAGTGCAGAGCCCGAAAGCACTGGGTGTAGAGGGACCGAAGACAGCGGCAATGGCCTCGGTCGATTGTACGTGAAATGACAACGAGAGCAAAGAACAAGGTGACGGTGGACCTGAAAGTGCTGCCCTGTGGTGCGCCGAGAGAGGAGACCCGCCACTTCAACTCCAAGTGAAAGAAAAAAGGCGGCCTGTCGTGCGCCGAGAGAGGAATGAATTTCCTGCAATTTCACGGAAAAGACAATTTGAATAAAGTCTATTGACGTGTAATAGATAGAGCCACCCATATGTTGTAGTCTACTTCTAGCAGGCTAGGCGGCGAGAAATCGGGCGGGTTAAAGATGCCCTGTGCGTTGTTTCCAGCGACCACACACGAGCGCAAAACGTTGTTCTTGCTGTCATTTTTTGTAGAAACACTGCCGTTTCGGCGCCGTGGCACCCCTGTGTGTGCGACCAACTTGTGCGAACGAAAGCATTCGAAAGGCGACCACTTTCCGCATCCTTGCGGGTTGTACTGGGATGGATCGTCGATGCTGCTCCCTGGGAGGTTTCGGAACGATTGTATGAAAGATTAAGATTTGTTCCGTTGGCATGTACCTACCGCATTTCCCGCTTGTTCGTTTTCGTTTTTAGGGCCGAGTGTGCGTGGCCACCCAGGCCTTCAAGGCCGGAGACGTGCTCTTGGAGGACCTTGCCTTTGTGCACGCCAGTGAACTACCCGATCGGTGCGTGCACTCGGTACTGCTGCACGCCACGGCTTTGGTGTAGCTGTTTCCCGACAGCAGCAGCCTCGTGGTATACCGCTGGTGACATCAGTCTACAGTACTCGACGAGAGGTGTTTGGTTGTACCCCGCCGGGCGGGTTAGATTGATATCCTCGGCGGTGGGGGATTGCCTTCGCCGTGCGATACGTAGGCCATATCCCCTTACGTCGTTCTTTTGTCGCTGCGGAACCCCTCATGAGAAGCCATTAAGAAAGCATCCTCCCTTTTTTTTCTGGATGCTCTCGAGGTTTTTCTTTCTTTTTCTGCGTACCCCCCTTTGCTAGCCAATGGAGGAGGGGAGAAGACCGGAGACCGCGGCGACAAAAACCACACCTCCGGTTTACACCTTCACGATCAGAATAAACGCCGGCCACTCCTCCAGACAAAGGGGTAAAAGTCTGTCTGCCCCAACGCAAAGACTGATTGGGCAAAGGTTTCATATTTATTTCTGCCGCATCTCACAAAACGCAGATTCCCTTACTTCGTCAGTCAACCTTTCGTCCCGTTCTTTTTCTGTCACGTTCGTGTGGGCGGATGGGGCGATGAAACCGCCGGGGTTCGAAAAATCGAAACACGACCAACCACAACCAACATTATCATCATCATCATCAACAACAGGTGCCTAGCTTGCTGCGGTTTCCACGAGGCGTCGGCGTGCTTCAAGCTGAAGCCGCAGGGCCCACTTCCCTGCCCTCCCGAGCTACTGGAGGAGCTCGATGCCGCGGCGGACCAGATGTGCGACCTGGATGCGGTCAACACCCTCGACAGGTAAGGAGGGATGGGCTCGGGGGAATTGGTTTGCGTGTCTGGGGGTCAAGGGGCGTGTACTCATACCCGTTGATGCCGTTGTCGTTAGACCATTGGCCTCGCATTCCTTCACAGCCGGGACGGAGCACGCCGAGTTCTCACAGGACCAGGCTCTCACATCACCAAACGTGAAGGGCAGGGCGTGTAGTT